TCGCTCATTTTCTCCATATAAAATAATGTTTGATAATTTTTTTATACGGGAAAAATGTGCGACACCTTCAACAAAAAAAATTTTGCACCAGGATTTGAACTTTGATTTTTGGGGTTTTTGTTATAAAATTAACCATATTTTTATAAAAAATTAGCGAGAAATAAAATATTAAAAAAATAGTTGCCCGTATTGTAAAAAATTCGCTGTACCTAAACTTTATTGACTGACTGTATGCAAATTCAATATTGGGCCTTAGGGATAAAAACTTAGGAGTTCCTTTTTCTTAAACTTACAGATCTTTTACTTAAATTTATTTGAAGAAATCGAGTAAAATGTCGGAAATTTTAAGAAATTTTATTCATAAGGCCGAATGTCAAAATTTTCATACATATGTATGCAAGTATGAATTAAATTTGAAATCATTGAAAAGAGAAGACTACATACAATATGCAAATTAGGGTGGTCATTAAAATGTCAAATGAACGAATTTTTTTGGTCTCACCCCCTCAATCGGTCACAGATATCACATGTAAATGTTGGTCCCGATTGGCGACGGTTAAGGCGTGTCACACAGGGGGCAAAGTACAGATTCCTCTATAGAGACTAACAAAATTAAAATTATTATTTTTTCATCTAAAACCCAAAATCGATAGTATCATAGTCGAAAATATCAACCATAAATACATATTTTTAATTTTTTGGGTCCCTGTGCGACACACCTTAACTGTCTCCAATCGGGACTAAAATTTATATGTGATAACTTCGACTATAGTGGCAGCGACTTAGGGGTTAAGGCTTAGGAAATCTCATGTAAAAATTAGCTTCCTACATTTAAGGACCGCCCTAATGTGCTTATCGTTACCTTAATATAGAAAGCCCCTAATTAATTTGCTTTTGAAATTCAGCTCTGCACAAAAGTCGGTAGATTACTCACCAAACATCGCAACTGTAGAACTTTAGTTTGTATAAATCTTTATAACCACTCTGTAAAGAAACAAAAATATTAGATAGGACTTTGCTATATTAAGGTTACTATATTTATAACGAAAATATAACATGTACATATGTACATACATAGATTATAAGAGAAAATCGAACAAGAGTAAATATTTTAGAAGACTAACAAATTAGGAAGTGGTATCGAAACTAAAACAACTAACGCTAATCAATTATCGAGGTAGGAAAAGATTCCCCACAGAATAGGTGCTGTTGATTATAGCATTATGACTTATGTTTATCTAAGCTCCTCGAAATCCCAAACTCTAAAACAATAGATTTTCATACAACTTTTAGCTCTGGAAAAAGAAACAGGTTAGGTTAGGTTGAACCTTTACGTAATCGTTATTTTACATAGAAAACTTTCAAGACTTTAGACATTACGACGCTTAACACGTCTGACAAATCCACTAATTACATTGGATCACAAATTTTAGTTTGGGTTTTGTTGTGTGTCCAGACGCCACTATCCAATGTCGATGTAGAACTGCTTGGTGATTCCGAAAATCGAGTTAATTTTTTTTTCTATTGATACGTTTTCGAGATATTTGCAATTTACCGTTATGCAGCTTAAAACAAAAAGTGGCTCCGCTTAAACACGTATATCTTATGAACCAATTTAACAACCATAACATGAGATACGCCAAATGAAAGCTGATGAAATTCTCCATAAACCATATATACATCACTTTCCGATAGGACTGATAGTTTCTGAGAAATTAATTAGTCATTCCAGTTTCTTTTTTTGTATTTTTAATGAAAAAATGAAAAAAAAAATTTAACTTTAACAGAAGAAAAATTAAAAAAATAACAGGTACTGTGCCAAATTTTGCATTTGTGCTATTCTGTTACAAAAAAAAAAACATCAAGTTACTGATGAAGGAAAGCGAGGGATAAATAAAGAAGTAATGTGTGGTCAAATGAAAATACGCAAAGATTGTTTGTCTGAAAAATGAGCAGGAAAAAAAGTTACTCATACGCCACGTACACCTGAGTAACACGCTGTTCTGCTCATATTTTATACAAAAAATCTTTGCGCTATTTCATTTGACCACTCATTATTTCTTATTCATCCATCAATTTTCTTCATTAGTAACTTGATTTGTTTTTGTAACAGAACAGGTTTTAGCACAAATGCAAAAATTTGGCACGGAACGTGTTATTTTTTAATTAAAAAATTCATTACATAGAAATTGGATAGTGGCATCCATAGAATATTTTTACTGTAAACCAGTGTTATTTATGTACATATGTAAGTATATTTAGTAGTTGGAAAACTCAACGAAGTACTTACAAGTTTATGGACCTACGAGTAAATTAAATAGATCAAGAAAAAATATAAATATACTACTTATAAGAACCGAAAGCATACATAATATGTATACATATGAGTGCGTATTAAGATTAAGTAATATCTCAGACATACATGTTGATAAAAAACTTTGTTTTTTTTTTGTGTATTAACAAGTAAAATTTGTTTCCGATTTTTGGGATATTAACTCCAATTTGTTGTTATTTAATATACATAAGTATGTACGAGTTTTATTTCTCAAAGCTTCATCCATGATACAATAATTTTTAGAAGGTAGTTTCACTTCAAAATTTTTGACATAAACCGTGTCTGTGACAAACACGCAATGTGGCCACTGCTACGATATAGAACTTGGGGATTATCGCTTGTTATTTTAGATATTTTTTAACAGAACATGTAAAGATTTATATGTTTCATAACTGATCACTAAATTTTTAATATAAATATACGTATTTTGTACATACATTTTTGCCACTGCTAATCACATGAATAAAAATCATAAAAATGAAAATATGACAGCAATATTTCTTGTTTATAATGGATTAGATCCATCGCACACCACGGACTTTATCGACCGCCAATTTAGATGTGCTCGCTAGTCTTTCCATTGCACCACAACTTATTGGGCAGAGCGATTAAGCTGGTGTAATGTGCGCACCTCCATACATCTTCATGTACATATTTCAAGCGAGCCATATCATTTAAATAGGCGGCCGATAAAGTCTGTGGTGTGCGGTGGCTCTTATAGCTGTGCCCTTACATCTATTCCGTGTGTTGCAATATCCACGAAAGCAGCAGTTAATTTTTTATGAAGAAAATTATTACAAAATATTCGAAAATTTCTCTACTTATATGTTTGGCTTTTCTTTGTTTAATTTTTCCAACGTCAAAAGCTGGATTTTTTTTTTTGAAAAAGTTGGTACAACAAAAAATACGAAACACATTTTCTGTCACATAGCTAACATGGCGTATAAGAAGAAGAAGTGAAACTACCTTCTAAAAATTATTGTATCATGGCTTCATCTATCATTCCCCGCAAACCAATTTATATCACAACTTTCTTCAAAGCTTGATTGCTCCTCTTCCTAGACAAGTAATATGTATCTACGTCACTATGCTATGTAATAAGTAATAATGCGAAACTACATTTTGTACTTTGATAACTTAACACCGAAATTATGAAAAGCATTCGCAAAAATATTAAAAGTAAAAATTATAAGATTTATGGCACTGACTGAAACTTTGTTTCCAAATACTTTTACTTAAACCACAACAAATACAGCTACATAAATTTTCAAGGTTTCTTTCACTTTAAGAGAATGTGATTGGATTAATTAAGTGAATGAAATAATAAATATACCCAGATTTGTTTGTAAATAACTAAGAGTAGGTAAAAAACTGAAATAAATAGAATACGATAAGCATAAGTTACACAATGAAAAGAAACAACTATGTATTATAAGAAATTATACATACAACTAAAGAAAAGAAAAATACAAAGCAAAAAATGTTGAAAAGTTGAAAACGGATTTTTATTTCGGCGAGGGGGGGGGGGCAAAAAGAATTATCGAAATCGGTTGACGTGGTCCAAACCTATGCGGTAACAAAAAAAAATAAAATAAAAGTTTAGTATGAAGTGTAAAGCAGGAAATAACATTACTCATACGCCACATCGTTCATGGCCGTACTTATGCATACTCGTACATGGCGCTCATAACATTTTCCATGTTCAAGTTTGAATGTAGCCGTCATCGATTCGCCACTTCGCTGCTTGCTATGTTTGAGTTCCGTTCGCTTAACGAAAAATATTGCATGTGAAAGTAACAACAAAGTTAGCTAGTAAAAATGGACGATAGCGAGTTTGGTTGTACCTCATTGAGTTCGTTCGTTTCGCCACTCGCTAAGTGTTAGCGAATCGATGCCAATTCGGAAAATTGCAATTTGGAAAAAACAATTTTTGGTCAAACCTACACTTTTCGGGGAAATCTACATTCGGTAATTCAATCTTTTTAAATCGTTATAATGGAATAATGGAAATACTTCCACAGTAAAAGTTTAATGATTTTTCGTGAGCCGACCATAGGGTGTGGTACGTTAGGACAATAAAAACCGCGATGCGGTGTGTAAGCGCTCAATGAACTTTGGAACAAGAAAAAAAATGTTTACTCGAGACAAGCACATCGAATAATCGTAGTTTAAGATCCGATGCCTTCGATTCAAAATATTGACATTAGGGTGGTACGCTGGGGTGATAAGAGCTTCATATTAATGGACTTTGGAACAAAGATATTGTATTCTGCAGACAGGAGCATTGATATAAAATTCTCAAAAAACCGGCTAAAAAAGCCAAAGAGAGGACGAAAAAAAGGCGACTCCTACTTTCGGTCGAAAATTCTTTTTTTCGAAACTGCTTTGCAAAAATACTTCAGATTCGAAGGAGTANTGGACCACAAGCGAGAATTCCACCAAAGTATACCGAGGAGGATTGGGATTTCAATAATAAAGTGAAATTTCGTATTACCTGTGATCAGGAGCGTTTAGCGGAGCGCATTGTGGAGTAAGTGAAATACTTACAGTTTACAGTTCATTTATAAAACGCCCATAACATTTAGGGAGTCTCAACGCACTGTCGACGAAACTAAAGATACTACCAAGACTTGGCAGCGCGAAGTGGAGCATCATATGCGTGAGCGCACAAGCGAGATTCGATTTTTATTAGATGAGCTGAATAGGCAAAAGAAAACGGCTTTGTTGGAGGACGAGGCACTCAATACATATCGCAATCGTGTTCTCAATGCAATCGATTTTCTAAAAGAGAAATCCCTGGCTATAAATCAGCGCTGTCAAATATTGCGTGAGGGACGGATTGGTGTGGATCTGTGCGATGACGAAGTCGATCGTTGTTTGCGGCATGAATTGAAGGTTATCAGAGGTTGTCAGTGCCTAATGGATCGATCACTGAAAGAGGCAACCGAACAGATACGTAGTCTACGCGCTACCATATATTTGCTAGATAAGGATTTGGCACAGAAGGATAAATCGCTGCTAATCGATGAGAATAATTTAACGCTACGTGAGACACAGCGACATTTGGGCACCGGCAAAGATCTCTCCAATTTGGAATGGTATGATTTTGTTGTGTTAAATGTGATTTTTGACTAGTGAAATTTTAAAGGTTAGCTGGACGTTTCTAACTTTAACAGGCGGGCAACTCTTGCACTAGAGTTTTGTATCGAAAGTTCTAAACATTTAAAAAAAAAAATCAGATTCCGCGGACATATTAGTTGCGTTCCAGATGCTTCACGATATTCACGATTTGCAGGAACAGCTGTTGTCTCCATTAATAAACCTTATGGAAGGTGGTCACCTGGAACGACTTCCTGTAAAAACTTGCAAATCGTGAAGCATCTGGAACGCAACTATTATCTACAACACACAATCTCCTTAGAACGAGATTTGAAAATGCGTTTACGATGAAACTCTGATCAACAGCAACAAAAGTTTCCGCTTCTACGTACACAGTGACTCAAACAAGTGACCACGTGTTGGTTTTTTTTTAATTTACACAATATTTTTCAAGTAATTTTTTTGTTGTTTTTCTATTAAAAATGTTGTCTAAGCTTTAACAAAAACAATATACAAGTTTCAAACGTTATGCAAAATAGAGGAAAATTCCCCAAATTTTGATGAAATTATAAAACTGTTTAATCTAAATCTTCAGAACATTTCTGGGTATGCAGTTTTATAGCCCATGCAATTTTAGTTTTCAGTTTTAATTTTAATGAAGTACAAGTTTCAACCGGCTAAAAAATTGCTTTGATTTTTAATATTTTTTTTGTGACTGCTTTTGCGTTTTTTTTTATAAGTGCAATTTACAAAAACTGACGCTTATTTTTTAAAGTTTTGTTGCGAACGGTCTCCACATTTTATTTCATAATGCTTGAGTCACTGTAATTGGTCGATATATGTATGTATGTTTGTACATACATATGTATCTATGTTAGAGCCCATCACTCTCCATACAAAAAAAAAATCAGCACTGTTTTTCCATCGGAAATATATAATTTATTAAAATTTAAGACTTTCGCAAAATTATTAAGATTTACGTGAGCTGGACCTATTTGAAAATACCTCTAACATATCACCATTAGAAGATAGAAGAGTTTAAGCTGAAAATGTTTGCATAAAAATGTTTAAAAATTTTATCAATGGAATCAAAATAATGAGATTTTTAAAAGCATTTAAATTCGGTCTAGGTCTGAATATTTTTCCGAATTATTTTCGCGGAAGTCCTAAAATATAGAGGAGTATTCTTGTACGAATCGAAAGTTTTGAATTTTTCTATACAAAAATTTAAATTTTCGATTCCTACGAAAATGAATATGCCATTTAATAAATTTTATATTTCCGGTGGAAAAATTGCAACTTTTATTTGCTGATGCACCCTAATGTACATACAAAAAAATCTTAAACTAATTCATTCCGCTAAATTGAGTGCTGTGTATAAACCAATGTTGTGTTTTCCAGAGGCCAGAGGTTATTTAAGCTCTTTATAGATTTTAGACAGATGCACATATGTACATACATAGGCTAAAAGCTTCGTCTACTCAGAACTGGTAAAAACATTTAAGTTTGGCCCGACAGAACTCTAGGCCTCCACGTTCGGTAGTAAGCTTAAAGCTGTAGCTGAAGGCTTTTCAGAATTTAATATTTTGAGTAGAGCTGCGAGCTATTATTCTGCAGGTCTTGAGTTCGATTTTCAGTAGATATATTAACATCAAAACCAAAGAAGAAATTTCTCAAAAAGCTGTCGCTTCTCGCCAAATAAAAGCAAGTCCTCCAGTTTAATTCAGAAAATCAAGCATCTAAATTTTTAAATAGTTATAGTAAAATTTTCAGTTAATGGCTCTGTTTCCGGATTATGTATAAATGCAATAACGTAAATAATTTTTTTAAGTATTCAAAAAATATTTTTCTTACAGTCGCTACTCCCTCGGCGAGTGGCAACATACAACCTATAAAAATATTGAGGATAATGCCAAGGAATTGAATTCGGCTGCACAGTTGCGAGCATACATCGACTTGTTATTGAAGCAAGTATGCGAGGATATGCAAAATCAAACGGATCGCACCAATGAGGCTTTCGAGCGTCGTATCTCCGAAACGAAACATGTAAAGAAATGTTTGGAAGATAAGCACAACGACTGCATGAATCACATACACGAAATGCAGCGTAACATACATCAATTGGAGAAGGAGCTGGTCGATAAGCAACGTTCATTGACGCTCTGCCAGACACGATTGAGCAATCGTGCACGTCGTCCCGGACTTGAGTTGACTTGCGATAGTGTGCAGGATGCACTCTATCATGAGATGGAAGCATTACAGGCATCCATATGTAAGCTAAATCAGAAGATAAATGAGAATAAAGCCTCCTTGCGTTACTTGTTACACGTGCAGATAATGCAGGAGGAGGAGATCAACATTAAGGCGAACAGCATTAAAATTGATGAGGTGGATTGTATGACTATTAGGCAAGCTCTAAAATACCAATCATTCTAAATTTAAACACAGTTAAATTAAAAGAAATCTTTGAAACATAAAAATATTGCATTTGTAGAGAGTTATAATATGTATATATTCGAATGTTAGAAACCGCATATTCTTCAAACACTGCCATGTATCACACGTTCGATTTACAATAAAATTAGCTGCTTTAGAGGACTAATTTTAGCTAAGATTTTCTTTTAAAAACAAATCCAGCCAGGGAACGTTGACAAAGTAAGTATTTATTATTCTGATAGTATATATGGTGAATCAGTTAGACTGCAGATATTCGCGATGGGGCCACTGTTTCATGCGTTCACCGTAACAGCGTTATCGGCATCTTTTTCGAAGAAGTGCGGTCCGTTGACTCCACCAGCTGAAAAACCACACCAAACAGAAACTAGTTTTGGGCGCATAGTTTTTACTTGCAGTGAAAATTAGCCTCATGATGTTTTTTTTTTTTTAAGTCGGCACCGACATATGGACCACTTTTACGCGTTGTTCAACTGAGTATCGCTCCATGACTGAGTTTGTCACCGGTAGTATCAATTATTAGAAAAAAAAATTTAAATATCTCAAATAATTGCTTACATCACCCCATATACATATGTATGTATGTAAATACTTAAGCTACCGTTTCTCGAGTAGGTATAAACCAAACTTTTATTCCATTACCCTAGGTAAGCCAGCGCCAAAGATTTTTACGAGGTCGTTATTTATGAATTGAGTTTGAGCTCCCACCTAAAAAAATTCTTTATAAACGTAGTTAGGCGTGGCTACTGTATTACCTGTTGTGGAGTTTATTAGTAATAACTCAAAAGTAGCACTCATCCCATGACACTGGACTCGGCCATACTTGAGTTATGGAGAAATAACGTTAATTGCATTGTCATAAAAACCAATCGAGATTTAATGGCAGATCAGCTTGAGAGGCAGCGGTTGCTCGACAAATAGAACCAGAAGCCTTTCTTGCTATAGTGCCAGGATCATGGCAGGCTACGAGCGCACATAAAAACCCCTGGAATTAGCTCAGGCGACACTTATTACTATGATACGGTGACAGACACTTGCTCAACGCACTTACATCTAGAATGCGACACGGTCGCTAGAAAAACGCAAAAATATATTTAGCAGGTTACGCGCATTCACTTTCTGTAACTGATGGGTTTCATAAGGGCCTTCAGCTGAACTAGTTCTTGTGATGGGCAATGAGGCCACAATAGACCTGAAACTTCAGTGAACATCCTACATTATACCCATCTACAACATGGTTGTTTTTTAACAGCATACAAATTCCGTAAATGGTTTCTGATGAATAATTTGCAGTGACAGTCCTTGTCCAGATATAGATATGGGTCGTTCCCCGTTATCGTTGCGTTATCTTTGTTCAGCTGCGGCTGTATATACATATATGTATGTGTGATCAGGCAGAGTCGGAAGAGTAGCAGGTACATTGAAGCAAAATACCAGGAAGTTATAAGTTTTCAGAGTCCTTACTGAAAAATCTGCTTCTGGCTGAAAATTCCAGGTGTGAATCGCAGTACGCCAAATAAGAAAAAAGAATCGCAGAACGGAAAGTTTGAAGCATCGAAGGTAATGAAGTTGCCGACGAGCTGGCGAGTGACGAATCTTTATCCGTTCTTTAGAAACCGAAAGCATTTGGTGGAAAGATTTGGCCTTTTTTGTAATTGTAATTTTTGAGTGCGATATCTATGTACGCAAGAAAAAGTGTTAAAGGTTAGAAGAACTTTAAAATGCCAGACCCTTTGGTTATCCTTTGGTAAAAAAGACATAAATCCTTTAATGAGAGCCGTCTTTAGACTAACAAGGCCTAATACACTCACGAATCGAAAGTTATACGTTTAGAACTTCGTCTATGTTCCACCACGAAAGTTCAGTTTGGTTTACTTTCGGCCAAAAAATGCCCCAACTCTACCGATAAAATTTTTTTATCGGAAAATTGGGCAAATATTCGGTTATTTGTACAATGATTTTGTGGTGGGGAGGGGCTGTGTCACCTAAAAATAGCATTTTGACAGCGAAAACTGAAACTCCGGTTACGCCATCCACAGTATTTTTGCGAATAACCCACCTCAAAATCACAAAAAAGGAATCTATTGCAACCCGAATTTATTAATAAATTAGTGTTCGGAAATTCGAAGTCTTTGTTTTAAATTAAACCTTAATCCTATACTACACGTGACTGATTTTTAATCGGATAATGCAATTGGACACAGTCCCAAAATCATTGTACAAATAGCCGAACTGTGCCCGAATAATGTATAAACATTTATTTTTTGGTAAATGTTAATAGAAATCAGTAATTTATAAATAAAAAAAAATTGTAAAAGTTAATGCCACGCGTAAAGTAAACAAACAGACTTGGGTTACAGCTGGATATCTACGCATATTTTAAAGTTCTACATCACTCTGTGTTTCGTTTTCCACTTTTCTGCTTAGCAATTTTTCATCGCTACAGTGATACGGATGGGAAATGCTCATCAATTTTTTCAGGCCATTTTATTTTGGCTGTATAAATATTCTGCTATTTTCCAAAAAATAGAGGTAAGATCTTCAAAAAGTTATATTGATTTAATACTTTGATGTTATGTATTCCACTTGATCGAAAATATTTCAAAAAAACTAAGCAAAAGACTTTCCTTTAGAACCCGGCATTGTGTCCCAAATTGTGGCTTAATTTTCCCTTTTTTTAACATTTTCATTATAAAAATGTTATAAATATAGTATTTTCCAGCAAAATGTCTAAGCGTGGGGCTGACGATGCAGGTGGTGGCGGTAGTGTCGCGGCTACCACAAACCTAGGGCAGCCACCGATTAAGAAGGTGCATTTTGAGCCTCACCTTATTGGGCCAGTATCGACACTCGAAGAAATGGACATAAAAGTGCTGGAGTTCCAGAATAAAAAACTCGCACAACGCATTGAACAACGTATGCGTACGGAGGCAGAGCTGCGCCATCGTATCGAGCAACTTGAGAAACGCCAGATGCAGGATGATGCGGTTCTCAATGTAGTTAATCGGTATTGGAATCAATTAAATGAAGATATACGTGTACTTTTGCAACGTTTCGATGCCGAGACGGCGGATGAGTCGGAAAATCGCAATGAAAATGAAGTAACAACGTCTTTCCTTACTCAGTTGTCGACATGGGACAAAGAAGAACTTGATGATAAACTGGCCAATAGGGTACAGGTCTCGAAAAGAGCGGTAGCAAAAATTGTGCAGGTAATTGATAGAATTATGCAGCGCAATGAGAAGATCACTATAGCATTGAAAGAAGGTACTGGCGTATCAAGTGGCAGCAATTCGAACGCTAACGCCGAGGGTGAAGATGGCACTGATAATGTTACAAATAATCTGTTGCCCAATATTGACGAGACTTTAAAACAAACTCATATTGAAATTATGACAGAGAACCGGAATTTGCAAAGTTTGAACACTTCTCTGCATGAAAAGTTCCACACTATTTCGCTAAAAATGAAGGAGTGTCAGGATGCGCTGACAGCTAAAGAAACGGAAAATGCCGAATTGAAGAACCAGATAGATGAGCTTCAATATGATTTGGAGAAAGTGCACTGTCGCAATGATAAGTTGGAAAATCATTTGGCCGAGGCAATTGAGAAACTAAAGGCTTACCATCAAATGCACGGCGATCCCAACAAAAGCTCTTCATCGGGCAAAACATCCGGAACAGCCAATGTGAATAGTCAACATTATGAAGATTTACAAAAAGAGCTCGAAGAATATCGTGAGCTTGCAAACAATCGCCTACAAGAGTTGGATAAACTTCATGCGACACATCGGGAAACGCTGAAGGAAGTGGAGAAATTGAAAATGGATGTAAGTATTTTAGAAGATGCACTAATAAATAACTTAATAAAAATTTATGCCCAATAGATTCGCCAACTACCTGAGTCTGTGATTGTCGAGACTACAGAATATAAATGCTTACAATCGCAATTCTCTGTTCTATATAATGAATCAATGCAAATTAAGACAATGCTAGATGAAACGCGGAACCAGCTGCAAACCAGCAAAAATCAACATTTACGACAAATTGAAGTAATGGAAAGTGAGGAGTTAATCGCGCAGAAAAAGGTGCGCAGCGAAATGATTCAAATGGAGGATGTGCTAGCACAAATTCGGAAAGAATATGAAACTTTACGCATTGAATTCGAGCAGAATATGGCAGCTAATGAGCAAACAGCGCCAATCAATAGAGAAATGCGGCATTTGATTACATCGCTGCAGAATCATAATGGACAGCTGAAAGGCGAGGTGCAGCGTTATAAACGTAAATACAAAGATGCTTCGGCTGACAATGTCAAGGTTGGTTTATTTATTTAAAATAATTTATGAACTTAAGTCTTCTGGACGCTGTAGCTAAGACATTGCACATCGATGTGGGGTTTTAACAAATTCGTATTCTCTATTTTAATAACCAACCACAATACTTTCAGCTGCGAAAAGAGGTAGAGGACACATTAGCTAAGTTAGAAGGTACTAAACAGCAACCTCCCACGGCAGAAGAAGTAAAACAAGAAAGTGGAAACTCTGTGAAAGAAGAAACCGCTACAAGCGGTACAGGAGCAGCAGGCGCCGGTACAAATGAATCATCAGCCGCAGTAAAAGATGAACCAGGTGCCAATGCTAAGGGTCAGAACGATATTAATGATTGAGTACATAAACTATATTCAAAGAATTCCAGGTGATGATGGTGAAGAGGAAACAAAGGAGCAAAAGGAGGGTATAAAACAGGAAAAGAGTTCGACAGGTGTTGCTGCCGCAGCGGGAGAAAAGAAAGAAGCACAAGCTGCCAACAGCACAAATAGCAATGCTACAAGTGGAGCAAACGCAGGAGGCACACCATGCACAGCTAATGTTAAAGTGGAAAAAGATGCTAAGGATGTGCCAAAAGCAAAGGAAATCAAATTAATGGAATCTGAAATAGTGCGAGACTTGAAAGCCCAATTGAAGTACGTTTATTGTTGTTAT